TAGGGGGCATCAGTAGTTGATTTTTGGATATTGTATAGCATATCAACTAAGAATAGGTAGGGTTGTCTTTTTTTTTTTTTTTTTTAGATCCTGATAAATCGATCAAGTATACTTTGGCTTCATTTATATTGTCAGCTTGTATGGTTGCTATTGTTTGTTTCTGGCTTGCCTTCTCCTCAGGGTCAAGAAAGTGATTCATCAGAGACCTCTGTGAGGGGACCCCGGATTAAACACGTCTGCAGAAGAGCTGCTGTTGCCCTTGGCCGAAAACGAGCTGTGTTTCCTGATGACATGCCCACCCTGAGTGCCTTACCATGGGAAGAACGAGAAAAGATTTTGTCTTCCATGGGGAATGATGGTAGGTCAGGGAGGTCAACCTTGGAGTCTGAGCCAATTTTGATTTTATTTATTAATCCTTCTGGGGATGCCCCGTAGACTCTTCATGGTTAGTCTGGGTCCTCTGAAAAACAGACGGGGAGAAGGGATTAGATGCATGGGGATTTTATTAGAAGAAATACCTGAGAAAGAAATGGCAAGGTAGCCAGGGAGGGTTGGGAGCTGTCAGACCATGATACCAGCCTGACCCTCAGGAAGGAAGGAAGGAAGGGAGGGTGGGGAAAGGTAGGGCAGAACCTTCCTAGGCCAACTGCAGTATAAAAAGGGTTTGGCCAGGCTTCGAGGGTCCATGAGCAAATGCTGGCTATTAGAGGAGACTTGCGTCTCCAGGAGCAGGCTTACCTCAGCCCTCACCGAGTCACCGCGGCATCCCGTGTTAAGTGTGGCCTGTGCACCACTGGGTATCGGAGCACAGTAGCTGGGACTCCTGGTCAGCCCTGCTTCCTGCAGTGGGAGGTCTGTGAGGCACGTGGCTGCCAAATAGTTTTTAAATTCTGGGTAGTTGAGCATAACGAATTTAGAGGTTTAGAGTCCTTAAAAGCATTCAACTCATATTCCTGGTGTTAGGTTAGACTCTTGTTTTTCAGTGGATTTTTGCTTTCATCAAACTGCAAATTATAGGCAATAATTGTTTGAAACAGACTGAGTTCTGCATATCAATATTTTTATTATAATGTATTTTATGTCTGGAGTGCCAATTATAACAAGGTTTGAATGTATCTGATAATATAAAGAGATTTTGAGGATCTCCCTCTGTACTCTCAAGAAGGGATTAGATACTCCTCTGAAACTAACGACATATTTCTTTGACAGACAAGTCATCTATTGCTGGCTCAGAAGAGGCTGAACCTCTTGCTCCACCCATCAAACCAGTTAAACCCGTCACTAGGAACAAGGCACCTCAGGAACCTCCAGTTAAGAAAGGACGGCGATCACGGCGGTGTGGGCAGTGTCCTGGCTGCCAGGTGCCTGAGGACTGTGGTGTCTGTACTAATTGCTTAGACAAGCCCAAGTTTGGTGGCCGCAATATAAAGAAGCAGTGCTGCAAGTGAGTGGGCGTCTTCCTTTTAGGTGTCAACCTCTCAGCCGTGAGGCTTGCTTATTTACCCTTGGTTTGTTGCGGAGATGCATCAGGAAACCAAATGTGGTTGTGTAGAATCTTTGAATTGTGAGATTAGTTTACAAAGTTCGATTTTGTGATGTGGCTTGATTTGGGCTGTGCTTTACATGAGAAAAGCTTTGGGGCAGCGTCATCCGTTAGAAGGTTCTGCAGTGGACCCGTTCTGTGTATGCTCAGTTCAGCGCATCCGTGGCCACCTGTGGCTGTTGAGCACTTGACATGGGATTCGTGTCATTGAGGAGCTACTTTTTTTTTTTTTTAAGATTTATTTATTTATTTATTCATGTATTTTTTTAATTTGACGAGAAGGAAACACAGAGAGAGAAAGTCAGAAAACAAGCTGCCTGGTCCAGGGTTCGAACTATGGTCGGCCACATGGGAGTGTCCAGAGCCCTAACCAGTAGACCACCTGCTGGTCCCAAGGAGCTACATTTTTAAATTTCATTTCATTTTAGTTAATTTAACTTTAAATAGCCACATCAGATAGTACAGCTCTGCAGGTTTTCTACTTAAAACCCAGCAGATTTTGGCATAATCTCTGTAGGGTCACCTGAAATCATTTTATCCTTACGACATTCAGAAAACACTGGCAATATCTTCTGTGCCTGTGACTCTCTGAGTGCCTTCATACATATGGGTTATTGACACGGAAGTTATTACTCTACCTTTTCATCCCTTTCTTAGTTTGTTGGTGCTTTTTCTGCCATCAGGGATAATTGACTTAAAATGGGTCAAGAGAGTTGCTTACCTAGGAATTTTGAGGAGTAGGCACTTTAAAAAGTATTTGGCACAAGGAATAAGGTTTTATCAACAGATATTTGCGAAGTAAATGAAATGAAAACGATTCATATAAAGCATGGTTGATAAAAATACTGCATTATATATTTCAGCGGTGACGGTTTCTAGGAGATGAGTGGTTTTTTGTGTTGGTTTGGTCTGGCCTTAAGCAAGTCTTCTCAGTTCCATTAGTGGAAAGAAGTGAGACAGTTCACAGATAGCAAAAAAGTTGCATTCTAGCAAGATAAAATTACACAAAACTTTTGGGTTAAGATGGGTTTGGTGCAATTTTAGACTTCAAATTAAATTTGAGTTTCATCAGATTTAAATTAAGAGGTAAACTACATATCAAAGCCACAAGATACACCTGTAGCACTGTAGCAGTAGACTAGGGATTTTAGGGTAATTTCAGTCTACTTTGCGTTCCAGATGACTGTGTGCATGTAATCTCATAGGTTGAAGTACTAATGTGGCTACAGGAAATACTGACCGATGGTCTCGATAGGTGCCAGTCCACATTGAGTTACATGAAATTTGAGCCCCATTTAAAAAATAATTGGATGTTTGCTCCTTTTAGATGCTGAAAGTAGATAAAATTGCTGATCCAAGTATTCAAAGGCTCAGATTTAACCTGAATAAGAAGCAATCCTTTTTTCAACTGTCAAAATGAACCTGAATAGATTGTTGTGGACACACGACTACTTGTTTCTGTTGCTTCTCTTCTAAATTAATTTATTTTATGATTTACCCCTACTTATCTTAGGATGAGAAAATGTCAGAATCTACAATGGATGCCTTCCAAAGCCTACCTTCAGAAGCAAGCTAAAGGTAGTATTATAGAAAGGTCACCCCCACATGCTCCTTCCTTTAATGCCATGTAGTCATGTCTGCAAAGACAATACTAATTTTTGTTGTTGTTTTAAGAACTGCTCTTTCCTAGGGACTGGGTGGTGGAAGCTGGAGTCTAGATATTTTGGAGTCATTTGACTAAATCCCTTTATTTTTGAGTATGTTTGAAATTTTTCATAATTATAAAAAGAACTTTTAAGTCATGTAAAAATTATAGTCCATTCCATTTACTAAGGCAATAAAAATATGCCTATTTCACCTGGTTAGCTTGGCATTAATTTTCCTGAGCCTTTTAGTGCCAACTTCCACTGCAGGGAACCAAGAATAAGATAGTTAACATTTCTATACTTCCATTTTAAATAAAAAACATTTTCATTTACAGATAGATAATCTTCTTGATTTGTTTTGCTTTTTTTTCCCTAGCTGTGAAAAAGAAAGAGAAAAAGTCTAAGGCCAGTGAAAAGAAAGAGAGTAAAGAGAGCAACGTTGCAAAGAACGTGGGGGACTCGAGCCAGAAACCTGCACCATCAGCAAGAGAGGAATCTGCCCCAAAGAAAAGCAGTAGCGAGCCTCCTCCACGGAAGCCCATCGAGGAAAAGAGTGAAGAAGGCAGCTCCTCCGCCCCGGGGCCTGAGTCCAAGCAAGTCACCACACCAGCTTCCAGGAAGTCCAGCAAGCAGGTTGCCCAACCTGCTCCAGTCGTCCCTCCTCAGCCGCCTAGCACAGGGCCACCAAGAAAAGAAGTTCCCAAGACCACTCCTAGTGAGCCCAAGAAGAAGCAGCCTCCACCACCAGAATCAGGTGAGTGAGGACGGTGAGAAGGAGTGGCCGGAACCACAAGTCCTAACAAAGACACACTGAGGACCTAAATAGCATGCGGAAACCTGAAATGTGTAATCTTACTTCTTCAGTTCAAGAAAAGTAGCTCTCTCTTAACTCTGATGTAATAAAGAAATAGAAGCAAAAAAAAAAAAGTTAAGTTGGAGATAGTATCATAATTTCTTATTTATGCCTAGAGTCTCGTGGATATTTCTTTTTAAATGCCCCTTCTTCACAGACCACTCGATCCTAAAGTCGTCATAGCCGGCATCTGACTGCAATGTATTTTGAACTCTATAGGTCCAGAACAAAGCAAGCAGAAAAAGGTGGCTCCCCGTCCAAGTATCCCTGTAAAACAAAAACCAAAAGAAAAGGTGAGGAGAGATTTGTTTCTCTGCCATTTCTCAAGCATGTGTTTGATTCTGCAGGGGAAAAACCTTATCCTTGACAATCACATAATTAAACAGAACTACATTTCTGCTTCTATATATATGGCAGAGAAGTTGCTTACAATTACCAACTTCAGGGTTAAAGCCTCAGCTCATTTCTTTTTTTGTCTTTCTCTTCTTGATTTCCCTTTTTTCATGTTCTTACATGTTGGCCTCGGAATCTGCTTTTTCTGCAGGCCATTCGCATAATCGGTTTTTGACCTGGACGTACTTTAGCAACATCTGTCTGTAAAGGTCCCTCTTCTCTGTGTCCACTATTTCTGTTCATTATGGATAGAGAGACAGTGGTTTTAAGAATCTTCCAACCACTGCTCCTCTCGTTCTACAGGAAACATGTTTTCCCGGTCTCTTACTAAGATTTGTCATTGGCCTTTTTATCTCTTTGCAAATGTGAAGGCAAGTAAGGTGCTCTGTCCTGTCCCCACCTCCTGTCTCCTTAGGAAAAACCTCCTCCCATGAGTAAGCAGGAGAGCGCCAGCACTTTGAACATCCTCAGCGCTCTCTCTAATGGCAATAGTTCCAAGCAGAAAGTCCCAGCTGATGGCGTCCACAGGATCAGGGTGGACTTCAAGGTAAGCTGTTCAGTGGTCCTGCAGCATATCCGTGTCACAGGCTATAGAGAAAGAGTGTGGAGCTGCCTCAGGTGCCAGAAGGGAGGATGTCAGCCCCATCTGGGGAAGTGAGTAAGAACCACCACTACCAGGTGACTTCGGGCGTGTGGGGACCTCGGTCAGTGCTGCGAGGTCACGCTTCGTGGGCTGACTAAGGAGCTTAGGCACCGAGACACCCCTAAGTGTCCTAGCATTGTCTGAGGAAATAATTCTTCCACAGTGGAATGATCCAACCGCGCTGATCGCCTGACTTAGCAAAACTCTCAGGGAAGTTCAGTCCCAGCCTGTCTTTGCAATAAGTGATCTCTCTCTCTCTCCCCACAGGAGGATTGTGAAGCAGAAAACGTGTGGGAGATGGGAGGCTTAGGAATCTTGACCTCCGTTCCGATAACGCCCAGGGTGGTTTGCTTTCTCTGTGCCAGCAGTGGCCATGTGGAGGTGAGGCATCCTGCTTCTTCGTGCCCAGAAAATGATAGCTATTGCTGTGGGTGACAGAAATCACCGTATTCTATTTTCTTGGTACTTCACAGGTACGGTCTTGTGGTTAAACCAGCTGAGGGAATATTTTTGAAGCTTTTTTCTTTTTTATGGGAAAGAGAGACAGAGGGACACAGTAAAATAGATACATATTTTTAAAATTTTGTTTATTCCTTTGTTGTGAACAAGAGACAGAAAAGAGCTTCTCCAGTGGGTTCTCTTTCCTCAGTCCACCCTCAGCCTTCAACCAGCCTTGGGTCATGGGCACATGTGTGTCTGCTTATACCTGTGGGACTCTCAGGACTTGAACTTGGGACCTTCCCACATGAGAGCACCTCACAGAGGACAGTGTTTTACTTCTTCAGGTGTAAAACATCTATTGGAATAGTAACATTGAGTGTGAAAAGTTTACTTCTCTCTCTCTATTTTTTAATGCCAGAGAGTGGACCTGCATGCATGAGAGAGAGAGTGAGAGAGTACTCCCTCGGCTGTGCCACAGCCTGGTCCTCATTTCTTCAGTTTACTCTTTTGTTTTTTTTAAGAAGTATTTAAATTTATTAACTAATTAATTTAAATTTGATTGGAGAGGTGGCGGGTGAGAGGAAGTGAGAAAAAAACAAGCTGCCAGGTCCAAGACTCGAACTGCAATTGGCCATGTGGGAGTCCAGTGCCTCTAACTACCATGCCACCTGTCAGCCCCCAGTTTACTCTTTATTAGGTTTCCCTGTTAGATATCCCAACGTGAGAAAAATAATAGAGTATTCTGTCAAAAGAATGCTGGCCCAGCCAAGTAGCACAAGAAGAGGGTGTTCTGCATGGCGGCCCCGGCTGCAGGAGCGGTTCGGTGGCCTTCCTAGATCAGCCTGAACAGGCCACGTGCAGTGTGGCACATGCCCCCACTCCCAGCTATCTGGGAGGCTGGGGCAGGGAATTGCAACATGGCCAGACCCTGTCAAAAATTCCTGTGTCTTCCTATCTCTTCTCTTTCACATTTCAAAAAGTGGGGGATATTGGCCTCCACAATCTAGTGGTTAAGGGAACCTTATCCCACATGGCCAACCACAGTCAAATCCAGGGCCTGGTGGCTTGAAAAACACCAGGCTAACAAGTGGAAAGGAAGGAAGGAAGGAAAGAAAGAAAAAAAGAAAGAAAGAAACAAATAACAAGTAGAATAAATAAATAATTATTTGGGGGGTGGCAGCAGGTGGTGTGGTGGTTAAAGGCTCTGAATTCCCACATCGCCAACTGCAGTTCTACTCCTGGCCCTGGCGGCATGGTTTCTTGCTTTCCCTTTCTCTCTCTCTCTGGTCAAAAAATAATAATACCAAGTGGAATTAAATAAATAAATAATTCCTTTTTTTAAAAAAAGAAAAACACATCAGGCCTTTCTTTCTCTCTGTCTCTTTCTGGCAAGCACATGCACACTGTGGCAAATAAGAAAAAAAAAAAGGAAAACAATGTATTTAAAGGTTATAAAGAAAATTCAAAGTCAAGTTTAAATCTGCATATTGAGCAAACAAAACTGCAAATTATTGCCTGGTATCCATTCATTAGGCAAATATTTCTCTAGTGCCTGTTACAAACAATATGTCCTAAATTCTGAGGTTGTTTCCAATGTCATAGAGACAGAATATTCAGTCTACACATGCCCAGGGTTTAGTTTCTCTTTTCCTCTCTAATCTAATACCTTGCATCCACACATACACTGTGCACAGTAATAACTTACTTTCGGGACCAGCAGTTAGTGTAATGGCTATGTCACTGGACTCCCATGTAGTCAACCACGGTTCCAGTCCCAGACCCGGTGGCTTAAACTCACACTGGGCACGTGTGTGTGCGCGTGCCTAAGATCCTGAGAGGAGAATGGAGGAGAAAGGATTGCAGCGTGGCCATTCCCCCTGGGGGGTGATTTCTCTCTGTCTTTCTGGCTCTTCCCTAGAGCAAAAACCTCTGCAGAAAAAGAAAAGGGATAACTTACTTTCATAGCACCAGTTCTTCAACTTTTATGATTAAACAGGTTTTTTTAAAAAGGGTTTAATTGTTCCAGTTTAAATTGTCTGCTTATATGCAGCAATTTCTGAGCTTCCTAGAAAAAAAAATGAATGAGAAAATTAGCTGGTCTACAGCCTGCATGGCATTTCTGAGGCATGACCATTACTTGTCAATTCTTCACTTGAAATTTTTTTTGTTTTTTTATTTTTTTGGAGAGATTTTTGCTCTAGGGTGTGTGTGCTCGCCAAAAAGACTCAGAGAGACAGAAAGCAAGAAATCACCCCCAGGAGGAATGACCGTGCCACAATCCCTTCTCCTCCATTCTCCTCTCAGATCTTAAGCATGCATGCACATGTGCCTGGTGTGAGTTTAAGCCACCAGGTCTGGGACTTGAACTGCGGTTGGCTACGTGGGAGTCCAGAGATGTAGCCATTACACTGTCTGCTGGTACCCACTTGAAGCTTTTAAAATTTTTTTTTTTTTTTTTTGGGTTTTTTCTTTTTGCTATAGGGCACATGTACTCGCCAGAAAGACAGAGAGAGGCAGAGAGACAGAAAGTGAGAAATCACCCCCAGGGGGGATGGCCATGCCGCAATCCCTTCTCCTCCATTCTCCTCTCAGGATCTTGAGCACACGCACACACACGCGCCCGGTGTAAGTTTAAGCCATCGGGTCCAAGACTCGAACCGCAGTCGACTACTTGAGAGTCCAGCGACATAGCCATTACACCAACTGCTGGTCCCACAAACCAATAAATTAAATTCTTGATCAAAATCAAGAACTTAACATTGGTACATTAATATTATCTAATCTGTAGACCTCCTTTACGTTTGACCAGTTATCCCAAGAATTCTATGATGAGAAAAGAAAATACTATGTTATCCTCATTCATATTTTATAAAACCCTGTATCAGTTGGGAAATAATTTATTTCTAAAATTAGTGATGGAAAGGACAAACCATAGCTGACAGTTGTTTGGTACAGTATACATTGTAGAAAAGCTTTAAAGCCTCTCCCATTTCCCATTTCCCCATACCTCACTCCTTGACATTCCCATAGCTATTTGTATCTTTCTCTTAATGCCACTTGGTATGTTCCACCAAACCTTAAATCTTAGCTTCTTTTCATTTTGTTACTTTATAATTTTACTGTTATTACCCCTGAATCTCCTTCAGTGCTTTTTAAAGTTGTGTTTGAATCATACACATTGAAATAAATACTACCAGTGGCCCCTCCTCGCACCCAAACTGAGCAGGGCGTGGTTGCTGTTCTATCACTTATTTAGCACACTTCTGTTTCCATTTTCTTGTAGTTTGTATATTGCCAAGTCTGTTGTGAGCCTTTCCACAAGTTTTGTTTGGAGGAGAATGAGCGCCCTCTGGAGGACCAGCTGGAAAACTGGTGTTGTCGCCGCTGCAAGTTCTGTCACGTTTGTGGAAGGCAGCACCAGGCTACCAAGGTACTAAACTGAGTACTAGAACTATGTGGTGTATTTTGTTACTCTCCATCTGCATTTCTGCCTTCCAATTAAGGGTATTATGTCTACATTCTTTGATTTTTTTTGGAGAGGTTTTTGCTATAGGGTGTGTGTGCTCACCAGAGAGACAGAGAGATAGAAAGCAAGAAATCACCCCCCAGGGGAGATGTCCACGCCGCAATCCCTTCTCCTCCATTCTCCTCTTGGGATCTTGGGCACGCACACACACGCGCCCGGCATGAGTTTAAGCCACTGGGTCCGGGACTCGAACTGCGGTTCGCTACATGGGAGTTCAGCGACATAGCCATTATGCTAACAGCTTTAACAGCTTGTCCCCTACATTCTCTTTTCTGTTGGCTTGGTTTGTTTTGACTATTTAATCTATAAACTCAATTGTCTATTTTTATGTTTCGGAATGTAAAAGAAAGAAAACATGGCATTGCCTAAAATCCCCCAAATAAGTCAAATCTACCATCACCGAGTGCCTTTAGTGGTTAAGAAATCCCCATACTTTAATTGGAAGTAAATAATGTGTGACGGAATTTTACCTGTCATAATGGGGTGCTGTACTCACTTGAGGATAAGTATGAGGTGGGGTACCAAATAATAGATGTTTAGTGAAGGTGGTATGATTATTTTCTTACAGCAGCTGCTGGAGTGTAATAAGTGCCGAAATAGCTATCACCCTGAGTGCCTGGGACCAAATTACCCCACCAAACCCACGAAGAAAAAGAAAGTTTGGGTGAGTATGCACATCACACGACCTGGAAGAGAAGTGCCGTGGGACTGCAGGGCTCGTGTAAC